ACCTTATAGCAGCCTTGCAGTACCTGAAGGAGGCCTATAAGAAAGCTGGCAAGGGACTTTTTGCAAGGTCATGTAGTGATAGAACAACATGGAAAATAAGGAGGTGATTGGTGACAGCCAACATGGTTTCACTAAGGGCAAATCATGCCTGACAAATTTGGTGGCCTTCTACGACAGGGCTACAGCATTGGTGGATAAGAGAGGAGCAACTGGACTTGTGCAAAGCATTTGACACTGTCCCTCACAACATCCTTGCCTCTAAATTGGAGAGAAATGGATCTGACAGACAGACCACTCAGTGGATAAGGAATTGGCTGGATGGTCACATGCAAAGAGTTGTGATCAACATCTCAATGTCCAAGTGGAGACCAGTGATGAGTGGCGTTCCTCAGGGGTCACTATTGCAATTGGCGCTGTTTAACATCTTCATTGGTGACATGGACAGTGGGATTGAGTGCACCCTCAGCAAGTTTGCTGACAACACCTAGCTGTGTGGTGTGGTAAACATGCTGGATAGAAGGGATGCCATCAAGAGGGACCCTGACAGGTTTGAGAGGTAGGCCTGTGTGAACCTCATGAAATTCAACAAGACCAAGTGCAAGGTCCTGCACATGGGTTGGGGCAATCCCAAGCACAAATACAGGCTGGGTGGAGAATGGATTGAGAGCAGCCCTGAGGAGAAGGACTTGGGGCTGTTGGCTGATGAAAAGCTCAGCATGACCTGGCAATGTGCACTTGCAGCCCAGAAAGCCAACCATATCCTGGGCTGCATTAAAAGAAGCATGACCAGCAGGTCAAGGGAGGTGATTCTGCCCCTCTACTCCTCTCTTGTGAGACCCCACCTGGAGTACTGCATCCAGCTCTGGAGCTCTCTGCACAGGAAAGTCATGGACCTGTTGGAGCAGGTCCAGAGAAGGGACAAGAAAATGATCAGAGGCTTGAACACCTCTTCTATGAGGACAGGCTGAGATAGTTGGGGTTGTTCGGCCTGGAGAAAAGAAGGCTCCGGGGAGACCTTGTAACAGCCTTCCAGTACCTGAAGGGGTCCTACAAGAAAGCTGGAGAGGGACTTTTTACAAAGGTGTGTAGTGATAGGACAAGGAGTAATGGCTTTAAACTGAAAGAGGGTAGATTTAGATTAGATATAAGGAAGAAATTCTTCACCATGAGGGTGGTGAGGCACTGGAACAGCTTGCCCAGCGAGGTTGTGGATGCCCCATCTGTGGAAGTGTTCAAGGCCAGATTGGATGGGGCTTTGAGCAACCCAGTCTAGTGGAAGGTGTCCCTGCCCATGGCAGGGAGTGGAACTAGATGATCTTTAAGGTCCCTTCCAACCCAAACTGTTCTATGATTCTATGATTCTAAGATATTTTGAATGGAAGTGAGCTCTCTTTCCCAACATATTCAAAGGCCACTTTTGTCAAAGGTTCTGTTTCACACTGCAGAGCTCTGCCCAGGCAGGTGTAACTGGAGCAAGGCTGCCCCAGGTTCACTGCTGCTGCTAGGCAACACCACATCTTATATTTATAATTTTAGACTCTGATTCTTACACAGGCAGATTATGGGCTTGCAGGGATGCATCTGAAACCAATAATAGGCATTCTGAAGTGTGATTATAATTTGAATGCTGATGATGCTTTCTAATGCATAATCTGTACTGTAAAATGAAAGCTGGTAAGTATTAGACATGTTTCCAGTATCTGCATGCTTTCTAAGCACAAAACTTGTATCAGAATTTTCATCAGGGGGCATGGTAGACACAAACATGTAATGATAAATGCCAGCAGTTTTAATTAATTGAAAATTCTGTTATTTTTATACTGATTGCAGAATTACTTACTTTGGAAAACATTGCTTCTTAAATAATAAAAATATTAACTGAGTACACAGGAGCACAGTATGTTCAAATAGAAGCATTTGATGGAATATAAGGTCAACTATAAAGACATTTCAGTTTGAGATAAATCATTTTATTTGTACACAGCAAATTATATACTCATGCAAATTACATTTAAGAAAAGTTATACACAGATGCATCAGATCACTACTTGTTTATTTGGATAGTACCAGTATATTATGCTCAGACCTCCTAGATCACCTTCAGAAGCTCTGAATAATTCTGTCCTATAGAGTATTTTGTAATTGTGGTCTCTCCTGGCCACTATGTCAGCAGTGTCATTTCTTGATTTCTTCCCTATCTGTTCTCAGGCTTTCAACCACACCAGAAGGTATGGTTTGAAATAGCCATTCTAAGTGGCCCTACGCACATTAATTTAATTATCTCATATAATTTCTGAAGCATGTAAAATAGACTAGTTCCTAGCCTTTTCATTATTACTTTCAGCCATTCACCTTCAACAATTGCCTCTCATTCAAACTTAATTTTCTTGCCATTTCTACTTCCTTTACCTGTAACCATCTATCTAACCTGTTACTTGCATTTGAATTTCTCAGATAACAGATGTCAATAATGCTGTACTTTGTTGTGTTCTGTTTTGCAATTTTATGTCACAGCATTCC